AGTGAGCTTACTCCTGTGTTCACTGACATTTTCAACACCTCTCTGCAGTCCTGCCATGTCCCGGCCTGCTTCAAATCCTCCATCATTGTTTCCGTCCCGAAGAAGCCCAGGATCACAGGACTCAACGACTACAGACCTGTAGCACTTACGTCTGTTGTCATGAAGTCATTTGAACGCCTGGTTCTCTCCCATCTCAAGTCCTTCACCTCCCCCCTCCTGGACCCCCTGCAGTTCGCCTACAGAGCCAACAGATCTGTAGACGACGCCATTAACCTGGCCCTCCACCACATCCTACAACACCTGGACTCCCCGGGGACCTACGCCAGGGTCCTGTTCGTGGACTTCAGCTCTGCCTTCAACACAATCCTGCCATCCCTGCTCCAGGACAAGCTCTCCCAGCTCAACGTGCCCGATTCCACCTGCAAGTGGATCACTGACTTCCTGACGGCCAGGAAGCAGCGAGTGCGTCTGGGGAAGAATGTCTCGGACTCTCGGATTATAAATACAGGAGCCCCACAGGGCTGTGTTCTTTCTCCCCTGCTCTTCTCCCTGTACACCAACCACTGCACCTCCAGCCACAACTCCGTGAAGCTGATCAAGTTCGCGGACGACACCACCCTCATTGGACTCATCTCCAACAACGATGAGTCCGCCTACAGGAGGGAGGTGGACCGGCTGGTGTCCTGGTGCAGTGGTAACAACCTGGAGCTGAACGCCCAGAAGACAGTGGAGATGATTGTGGACTTCAGGAAGAGCACTGTCCCCCCGCCCCCACCCTCCGTGATGGACTCCCCCATCACCTCTGTGGAGTCCTTCCGTTTCCTGGGCACCACCATCACCCAGGACCTCAAGTGGGAGCCGACCATCAGCTCCCTCATCAAGAAGGCCCAGCAGAGGATGTACTTCCTGCGGCAGCTCAGGAAAGCCAAGCTGCCTGCACAGATGTTGGTGCAGTTCTACACGGCCATCATCGAGTCCATCCTCACCTCCTCCATCACCGTGTGGTTCGCTGGAGCCACAGTCAGGGACAAACAGAGACTACAGCGCATTGTGCGCTCTGCAGAGGAAGTGATCGGCCGCAGCCTTCCATCGCTGCAGGACCTGTACGTCGCCCGAGCTCGAGGCCGGGCTGGTCGTATCACAGCCGACCCCTCTCACCTGCACATGGACTATTCCAACCACTCCCCTCAGGCAGGAGGCTGCGGTCCATCAGGACTAGAACCTCCCGCCACAAGAACAGTTTCTTCCCCTCTGCTGTTGGACTCTTGAACACTTCTTAACCTGTCCCCCCGCCCTTTATAAAGTCACTTTACTGCCCATCATACGTCACTTTACTTCACTGTACTGCTGTCACCTTACATTGTGTGCACCATGTGCACTTGTATATTGTAAATAGTAACTGTAACTCTATTTTAAATTTAAATGTATTCTTTAGAAGTGTTTTTTATTCTTATTTTTATTATCTCTTTCTGACTGTTGCACTGAGCCAAAGCAATTTCCAAGTCTGTGACTTCCTGTTACTTACGTGGCAATAAAAATGATTCTGATTCTGATTCTAATATGCAAATTAGATGGCAGGATTTATTCTCTACATCAACTTTGGGCCATTCCTTAATATTTCTCTTATTTACAGAAAGCCTTTATGTCATGTGGATGAATGAAGAAAAAGGGAACCCAAAATGCAGGACTGAAAATCAAAGTAATTTAATAAAATAAATCCAAGGTAATGTAAAAACACAAAAACACCAGAACTGCAGACAGGACAAACGTAGAGACAATGGACGGACAACAAGTGAGGAAAGGCACAGGGTATAAATACATACAGGGAGACACAGGTGAATCACCTTAGGGCGGGGCAAAAATCAACTCAAACTCCAAGAGAACAAATAGCAAAATAAAACCAGGCCAAAATAGTCAAAAAGTCCACACCATGACACTTTATCTCTTATCACTTTTAAGTTATAGCCTTTTGAAATTAAGAAGTCAAAATTGAGCGTTTTAGAAAAAAACCTCTGGCGCTTAAAGGGTTAACGTTGTCTTTGTGCGTGTGGTTTGAGATGTTTACACTTTGCTGCTATGACGCTGAATAATTATTTTTCCAAAAGATTGTTGTTCGGATTGTTCTTTTATATAACTGTGGTCCTCCACGGTTCCTTCTTCCAACTTGTGAAGGCACGGTGAAATCAACGATATCAGTAGCTCATTTGAAACGAAACGCGTTTCTCGCATCCTTTTTGTCCCTTATCCACCACCAGTTTTCAAGAGAGACAGGAGCAGTGGGGGTGGGTCCCGGCTCAAAAATGGCCAAAAAAACGCAGTAAGGGCAGGCTCCTTTTGTGGCACCGGCACCTGCCACAGCTGATTAGTGGCATGTACACAACAAATGGCGTTTAAAATGGCATGTGGACAACAAGTGGTGTTTAAAACGGCATGTGGACAACAAGTGGCGTTTAAAACGGCATGTGGGGAATAAATGGCGTGTAAAGCGGCATGTGGACAACAAGTGGCGTTTAAAACGGCATGTGGGGAATAAATGGCGTGTAAAGCGGCATGTGGGCAATAAATGGCGTTTACAACGGCATGTGGGGAATAAATGGCGTGTAAAGCGGCATGTGGGCAATAAATGCCGTTTTAAACGGCATGTGGACAACAAGTGGCGTTTAAAACGGCATGTGGGGAATAAATGCGGTGTAAAGCGGCATGTGGGCAATAAATGGCGTTTACAACGGCATGTGGGGAATAAATGGCGTGTAAAGCGGCATGTGGACAACAAATGCCCCCACTGAAAGATCAAGGCTATGCTCACACTCAGAGAGCAGCCGTCCTCCTGTGGACTCACCACCTGCAGAGGGTCAGTGAGGGGCTGGTGCTATGAGACTTGGGTGGCATCTCTGACTGCCACCCCCCTGACCCAGAAATGGATTAAAGGGTAGAAAATGGATGGATGGATGGATGGAAGTCGCTTAAGTACTTTGGTGCGAGGCCATGGAGAGACTTGTACACAAGCAGTGCTGCTTTGAAGTCTATTCTCTGAGCCACAGGAAGCCAGTGCAGAGACCTGAGAACTGGACTAATGTGGTCATATTTCCTGGTCTTGGTCAGGACTCGAGCTGCAGCATTTTGGACATACTGCAGTTGTTTTACAGCCTGTTTGGACAGACCTGTGAGCAGGCCATTGCAGTAGTCTAACCTACTGGAGACAAATGCATGGATGTTTCTAATTTTGGCAATGTTTTTCAGATGGTAAAATGCTGCTGATGTTACTGATTTGATATGACTGTTAAAAATTAAGTCTGAGTCCATTATAACTCCTAGGTTTCTGACCTTGCCTACAGGTTCCAGGGAGAGAGACTGGAGGTGACGAATAACGCTCTCTCTTTGTTTCTGAGGACCAAAGACAAGTCTCTCCAGAGGTCCCAGCGTTTGACAGAACGCCGAGTTGTGGTGAGGACTCAGACCAGGTCCCAAACTCTGCTGCGTCTAAGCGACATTACCCACCACAGTAAATTGGCTTCATTCACCACCCTGGTCCGGGAGTATGGCATCGAGAGTAAAGAATTCTTGGAATACCTTCAACTGAAATCATCCTTAACCTCTGCATTAAAAAACACCCCTATCAATCTAAACCTCCCTCTACCAATCGCAGACATTATCAGAATCAATACACCCAAAAAACGCCTTTCCAAAATATACAAATTAATCCTAAATTCAGACGAATCAACCGCTCTACCAACCTCCAAATGGGCAGACGGCATAGCCTTTGCTCTCGATGCCAACTCCTGGATTCAAATCTGTAAAAATATATATACTATGACAAAAAACACAGACCTACAACTCATACAATACAAAGTCTTGCACAGAACTCACTACACGGGGCACAGAATGTTCAAAATGGGATTCACATCAGACAACTGCACTCAGAATACATCAGACACCTATATCCACGCCTTCTGGCACTGTCCACCTACTTCGAAATTTTGGGAAAAGGTCACATCAATTCTTTCTTCACTTCACTTTGCTCGGCAACCTGTCCGAAATAATCACTCACTCAGACAAAAACATGCTGCTAGTGGCCCTAACCACCGCCAAGAAAACAATCCTCATGAACTGGAAATCAAGGTCAAACATAAACATTATATTCTGGAAAAATCTAATGAGTCAATACATCTCAACAGAAACCTCCCGGCACCACTCCAACCAATCCACAACAGAACCCTTCGGCGTCTGGTCATCCTTCATCACATCAATACACTCCAGAAATATATAATCTTATAATCTCAACAATATTACCACAATACCTCCTCCTACCCAGAAATCAACTTAGGTGTGTTTTGTTTCGCTTCTCTCCCGCCCCCCCCACTCATTTAGTTATTTGCCTTTTTGTTTACCTCATCTACTATAATATATGCTATAATATATAATATATATATATAATATAAGCTGCAAATGGACTATTATTTAATATGGTTATTATTACTATTATTGTTATTATTATTATTAATATCATTATTCATGTCTTAACTTTCTCCTCTGGATGGCTGTGGCAGTGGCTGTATAATTTCTATTTATGTTATGTATTTATTCTCAATATAATCAATTACCCTGATAACACCACTAATATCATAATTAATTAACCCATTGCTTAATATTATTATCAATGTCAATTAGTAAATATGTATTTGTATACATACACCTATACATACATAATAAAAGTAAAAAAAATAATGAGTGGAAAAAAATAAATAAAAAAAAGTAAACATCCCCCTCCATCCCCCTCTGCTGTATCCCTTAAAATATGTATCTACACATATTCTTGTTTGTTTGTTTGTTTTTTGAATGTATGTTACCTTGCAAAATCAAAAAAAGCTTTTTAAAAAAAAGAGAAAAAAAAAGAATAACATTTCTGCAATATTTTTGTATTTTTTTTTTTTTGTATTTAAGTTTTTATTTTTCATTATGCAGTTGTTTGTTGCTGTTTGGGATTGTGTCGTGACAATCCTTTAGTCCTTCACGGAGCTGCTGCAACCTCCCGTACGCTGTCTCCGATTGAAAAACCCTGAGATGGATCCAAAGGAGGGAACAAGGCGTGAGAACCGCTTTCCTTGTCGTGGTCTGGTGTTCTCTTCTACACACACCTTCTCTGTGTCGGTGTGTATCTCAGGCTTGGTTTCGGGGGCTGGTTCTATCATTTCCAGAAGCCTTTGTTCCCACACGACTTCCATGTTTTTGTGCTCAATAGTTTGTTTGAGGTCCAGCATCTCTGATTCCAAGTGTCTTCGTCTATCAAACGACTTGTTCAGACTGTTCTCATGCTCCCCTCTTTCCTGGAGTCTTCTGACCTCCAGTCGTTCCAACTCCAGCTGCACATGGGCCTTGGTTAGTTTTATCTCTTCAGATTTTTCCCTGACCATGGCCTGTTCTTGCTCCAGCTCCTCCTGCCGCTGTCTGATAGTTGCATCCCTCTCCCGGAGCTGCTGCTGCATCTGTAACAAGCGTCGCAAAAACACAATCTTTGAGTCGGCCGCCTGGTCTAACTCTCTCTCGTAGTCGAGTTCCTTTGTCATCCATTCGAGATGAGCTTGATCCCTTACTTTCTGAAAACTAATGAATCTGCTCTTTAGATCTGCGTTTTCTACACACAAATCCTGCTTCATCTCCTCCATGTTCTGAAGGTCATTTTCCAGATTTGTTATTGTGTTTTGAAGCTGCTCCTTCTCCTGCCTCCACGCCTGTGTCTCCAGCGTGAATACATGGTCAAAGTACTGATCCTTTTTAAGTACTTTTTCCTCAGAGAATCATTATCCCGCCTCAAACGTTCTATTTCAGAATGCAAATATTTTGTAGACACGGTGTGATGAGAGTGCTCTAAGTTTTCCTCGCTTTCATGGCCTTGCAACAGTGAGCTGGGATTTGCATTTCTAGCATCTATAATCCTGGCCCTGCCTTGATACCAAGCCTCTATCTGGACCCTTTGGGTCTCGCGAATGGCCAGGTGCTTCTGCCGTTTGTTAAACTGTCGTTGGAGGTCGGCTAAGTCAGCAGATTCCTGATCTCCTCTTAGATTCACGTCAAGAGACCTCAACCTGTCAACCTGCTCTTTGAAGATGGTTTCTTCTGTGTTCCAGGCCTCTTCACTCTGACTCCACGGCAGCTCTTGAGCCACATGTTCTTCACCGAAATGGTCGACCTCGTTGGAAAGCCACTTCTGCAGCTTTCCGTGGAAGTTCATCTCAGCTGCATCATGTTCCTTTTCCACACACTGCCAGGTCTCAATGAAAGCCTTAATGCTTGTCTCAGGGACTTCCATTTTGCAGTGTGCTGAACCGACGTATGGACGATGGACCCAGAGGTTCTGGCTGTAGCGGAGTCAGTGCTTGCCTCCCACAGCTATATCCACATCAGCTAGTAGGACTTTCCAAGCTATAAGGCCTGGGTCATTCTTTTCCCTGCAGTGACATCTCCATGGAAACGGCTTTAGAATAGATCATGTCATCAAAATCTAGAACTATTCAGGGCCTATAGAAACCGTCGCCATGGAAACCTATATAACATTGAATGAATCTCTTCATATATAGATAGATGGATACTTTATTGATCCCTGTAGGAGAAATTCAGGTGTCACAAGGAGTTTGTTCTTTTATGCTCAGTAGTGTTTTTACGTTCAGATAACTTTCTATTTCAATATTGTCCTGGTTGTTTTTTTTTGTCCAATAGAAATTTTATGAATTGAAACAAAGCGCACATACATTGAAAATTGAAAACTCACTGGTGTCTCTAACCCAGAGAGCTACAGTACAGTACTATTGTTACTAGTGACAGAGTAAGTGCATTTACAATTATAAATAGTGATAATTATTAATACCATCCATCCATCCATTTTCTTCCGCTTTATCCGTTGCCGGGTCGCGGGGGCAGCAGTCTAAGCAAAGACGCCCAGATTTCCCAATCCACACACACTTCCTCCAGCTCGTCCGGGGAACCCCAAGGCGTTCCCAGGCCAGCTGAGAGACATAGTCCTTCCAGCGTGTCCTGGGTCTTCCCCGGGGCCTCCTCCCGGTGGGACGTGCCCGGAGCACCTCACCAGGGAGGCGTCCAGGAGGCATCCGGAACAGATGCCCGAGCCACCTCAACTGGTTCCTCTCGACGTGGAGAAGCAGCGGCTCTACTCCGAGCTCCTCCCGTGTAACTGAGCTCCTCACCCTATCTCTAAGGCAGCGCCCAGCCACTCTGCGGAGGAAGCTCATTTCAGCCGCTTGTATCCGCGATCTTGTTCTTTTGGTCATTACCCAAAGCTCATGACCATAGGTGAGGGGGGGAACAAAGATTGACCGGTAAATCTAAAGCTTTGCCTTTCGGCTCAGCTCCCTCTTTACCACAACGGTAAAGATGGTATGATTAATACCATCTGAAATATTAAGTGTATTATTTGATTTGTTAATTTCTAAATTCCTTGGCGAGCCATTGGTGTATTCAGAGCTACAGGTTTGAGACCCATCCCTGATCCAGCTTCTACTCCTGTTCCAGATCCAGCCCCAACCACAACCTCCTCAGCCTTCATTTTTACCGTCAATAAATCCTGTTAACCCGTCCTGTCTCCTTTGGTCATAATCATTTATTCTGTCATCTTCTTGCTTGGCTAAAGATTCTGTACTTTGTAGCAGTGTTTGATCAGGTGTTAGTGCTGCTAATTAGATGAATCCAAGAGCAAATGATTCATTTTTTTCAGATGGAGAGGGAAGAAGGATCATAGAAAAGAAGATGGAAGGAGAGAAAGAAGAGACGACAACAGTGACTGATCCTCCACTGACTGACATGGGGTCAAACATTATTATTTTCTTTTAAGACAAATCTGTGGTCCTCACACCAATGCACTGTTGTTTCTTTATCTGCCGATAGACTGTGATACATGTATAGTTTTTTATTTAAGAACAGCTGAATTGTTTTTTTGAAAATGATGCAAAACGTAAATGTTCAAATGCAAAAATAACAGAATTGAGGAACTGATGAGCCCAAACTTGAATAGAAAGAAGTCCAGAGTTGTATCTACTGAAGTCTGAAAATGTCAGGTATATAGTATCAGCTGACATGTGTTAGAAGCTGGAGGAGACTGGATCTTGAGGTTTTGACACTTTACCATAAGGGACAATGCTGCAAACACGGCACTGTGCTGTTCTAATGTCCGTAATTCGACTGGAAATTTACCCAAAACTTATTCAGAGGCGAAACTTGTGAAAACGGCTCTGTCCATGACGTCATAGGGGTGTAAGGGTCATGTTTTTTGACTTCTCCAGCGCTTTCAATACCATCAGACCGGCACTGCTGCAGGGGAAGATGGAGGACGCGGGAGTGGACAGTAGCCTCACTGCATGGATCATCAACTACCTCTCAGACCGACCACAGTACGTGCGGCTGCGCAGCTGTGAGTCTGAGGTGGTCGTCTGCAGCACTGGGGCCCCTCAGGGCACTGTCCTCTCACCGTTTCTCTTCACCATCTACACTTCAGACTTCACACACGACACACACAGCTGTCACCTGCAGAAGTTCTCCGATGACTCCGCCATGGGCTGTGTGTCTGAGGGGAACGAACTGGAATATCGGCCGGTTATCACAGACTTTGTCGACTGGTGTGAGCACAACCACTTGTTCTTGAACACCAGTAAGACCAAGGAGATGATCTTCGACTTCAGGAGAAAACCACTTTCCCACACACTGCTGAACATCCAGGGGGAGGACATTGAGCTGGTGGACAGCTTCAAGTACCTGGGTGTTCACATTAACAATAAACTGGACTGGTCCATAATACAAACGCCCTGCACAAGAAGGGCCAAAGTTGCCTCTTCCTTCTGAGGAGGCTGAGGTCCTTCGGAGTGAGCAGGCCTCTGCTCAGGACTTTTTATGACTCTGTGGTAGCCTCAGCCATATACTACGCTGCCGTGTGCTGGGCCCTGGGCAGCACAGAGCGGGACAGGAGCAGACTGAACAAGCTGATTCAAAAAGGTTCATTTTGTCTTGAGTTAAAAAAAATTGTTTTTGGTTCTTTTTAAAAGACAAGTTTAGATGTTTTACCTTGTTAGCATGTTTTGGCTGCAGAGCTGCGAGCCATCTTCAGAACTGTCACCTGCCTTGGTGTCATCGCCCGGTGGTCTCTGGAGGAGGGTGCCATGTGTGGGACAGGAGGAAAGCTCCCTCATCTCGGTTGATGCTGTTGTTGCCCTGCTTCCTGATTTCAATGGCCTCCTTAATCCAGCGCTTGTATTTGTTGTTTTCGGATCCCGTGGACCCATGCCCTGTCCCAGTCCATAATGTGGTTATTTCTCTTGCAGTGGTCTGAAACGGCTGATTTGAGATTTTCCCTGATTTGCTGGTTATTTTCCGGGCCGAATGAGTCTCCCTGATGTCTCTCTCTCACATTCCTTCTGATGCTCCTTTTTTTTTTTTCCAAAAAAAAAAAAAAAAGACTGAACAAGCTGGTCAGGAGGGCCAGCTCCACTCTGGGCTGCCCCTTGGACTCTGTGGAGGAGGTGAGGGACAGGAGGGTGCTAACCAAAGTCAGCTCCATCATGAACAACACCTCCCACTGCACAGGACTGTAGAGGAGCTGAGGAGCTCCTTCAGAGGAAGACTGAGACACCCTCAGTGTAAGGAGCGCTACCGCAGGGCCTTTATCCCCACTGCTGTCAGACTGTACAATAAGTCACTTTAAATCACTTGCACTACAGGACTAAAAACCTGCACTACTATTGACACTGTTTCTTTAATTGCCACTTTTAATTGTACATGATGTATCCTGCACAGACCATATTTTTTTGCCTTTAACATCAACATTAACACTTCTTTCTTTTACACAAATCTGACTGTTTCGATCCATGCCAAATGTGACATTTATCCTGTGTGAGATCAATAAAGTCTATCTTATCTTATCTCATGGTCTTAAGATTCATCAAACTATGAGAAGTTTAAAAACAGAACACTCAAAAGGGTAAATGTCAGAAGAATTTGACTTCTACATTTGGATTGTAAGACGCTTGATCAACATCTAGAATATGTCACTTCAGAAACTCATCCAAAAATATTACTTTTTAATCACTTTGTTGAGTCAATTTGACGCGAGGACAGCTGGACATTTATGACTTTATAAGAAACCTGTAAATACAATGTTTTCCAATGGCCTGTATTTTTGTCATTTTTATTTAAACACATTGTCATTTGAAAATGCTATTAGATATTTCTCAAAGGTCCAGTCCTGGTCTGGTGTCCCTGAGTCCGGGCGGTGGATCAGTTCTGGTCTGGTCTAGCTGAGTCCAGGCGGTAGATCAGTCCTGCTCCAGTCCTGGTCTGGTCCCGCTGAGTCCAGGCGGTGGATAAGTCCTGGTCTGGTTTCCCTGAGTCCGGGCGGTGGATCAGTCCTGCTCAAGTCCTGTTCTGGTCTCCCTGAGTCCGGGCTGTGGATCAGTCCAGCACTGGCTCAGGCCTCATGAATTCTTAAATCTCTGGTCTGAATAATTCATGCAGATTATTGCTCTTTCTCAAACTCTCATTAAGACAGAGAGATTACATCTGTGGAGACACCTGGGCTGGTTTGGGACTGAAGCTGGTCTAAAGATGGACTAAAGCAGGTCTGATGCAAGTGTGAAGCTGGTTCAAAGCTGGTATAACTACACATGTGTAAAACAAGAATAAACCATGTCTGAAGCAGGATTAAGCTGGTCTAAAGCATTCTGGAGTAGGTCAAAGCAGGGCCGGAGACAGACTAAAGCAGGTCTACGTTGGGTCCACAGCAGCTACACAAAAACATTGGTTGGATTTGCATTCACTACAGCTCACTGTGTTGTTACAGACAGAGAAACATACATCAACAAAAGGCATTTCAGTTAATATGCGATAAATGTGTAATTAGTCTGAGGTTCTACTGACAGTGGGTCTGAGACTGTGGGTCTGAGACTGTGGGTCTGAGACCGTTGGTCTGAGACTGTGGGTCTGAGACTGTGGGGCTGAGACCGTTGGTCTGAGACTGTGGGTCTGAGACTGTGGGGCTGAGACTGTGGGGCTGAGACCGTTGGTCTGAGACTGTGGGTCTGAGACTGTGGGGCTGAGACTGTGGGGCTGAGACTGTGGGGCTGAGACTGTGGGTCTGAGACTGTGGGTCTGAGACTGTGGGGCTGAGACTGTGGGTCTGAGACTGTGGGGCTGAGACCGTTGGTCTGAGACTGTGGGTCTGAGACTCTGGGGCTGAGACTGTGGCTCTGAGACCGTGGCTCTGAGACCGTTGGTGAATTTGGCAGTGATCCATATTATCTCCTGAAGCAGAAGAAAACCAGGACTAATTCACTTCAGTCCTGTGCTTTTATCAAAAACCTTTCACTTTGAAAGTCACATTCTCAGATAATTGTTTTTGTTCACTGCCATAAAATGTCACTGGTGTGAACCATTCTGACGAAGAGGCTTAGATTACAACAAGCTGCATTTGCAAATGAGACGTCATGTTATGTTTACCAGATTTGTTCAAATTTAAAAGAGTCAATCATCTGGAACATCTAAATACAACTACTCAAGTTTGAAACTGCTCTATTTTGTGCATTTATACTACTTTGTTTGTGGAGTTTTGGTGACCTCACGTGGCCAAGTATGGAACTGCAGATATAAGGATCTGGCAGGTTTCAAACAGAAAGTTTCTCCTCCACGTTACAGCACGAGTGTCCACAGACAGTCAGACACCATAATATATATCAGCTGTGAGCTCACAAATGTAGAAGGACCATTGTTTGTTGGACATCAAGAAAGTCCCATTATTCTGCTCATTATTGAAATGTGATGTCTGCTCATGGAGCTGCTGTTGTTGTTGTGCACCTGATCATCACAAAATAAAGCTCCATTCTATTCTATAAGTTAAAATCCTGCTGTAGTAATTGTGTGGACTATAAGGACTACACCAGGAAAAAGACCTATGTTTGAGAGTTAATTCCATTCAAAACAACATTTTATCAAAAGCATTTAATTATTACAAAATGAGATACAGTTGTGTAAAAAAAAAAGTGCAAACAAAAAAGATATGAACAAATGTCCCGTCAGAAGAGGCTGGAGTTTCAGTAGACCCTGGACCTGGAAGACAGACGGAGCACTGTCACTAGCGTACATTCACTTTGAACCTGAATAAACAAGACCCATAAGCAGAGGATGAGGACGATACGGTTTCACAAAAACCTGAGGGATAATAAATGTAAAACGTTCATTATATCTTCTTTTTAAGCAGTAAAGGCTTCGACACACTTTAGTCTCATTGGAAGAACAAGGTGCTAGCTTCCCCTGGAGTTCCTTTTAGGTCTGCACTCAAGTCACAGTTTACAGCCTACAGTTTTGTTGTGGATTGAACATAGATTTTTCCATTTTTATCAATAATTAAACCATTTCAATTCTCTTGAAGGTACTCTGTGTAATTTGTACAGTTGCTCTAAATGAAAAAAATGTTAACCAGTGACAAAATATGACCTTTTTGAGAATATCTACCTCTACCGTGTTTTTGAATTGTTGTCATAGTATTAGAATTTGACTCATAAATGTCCGTGATCCTGGAGGACTCTGTGTCAATGCTCCATCTTGAAATACAGCGGTTGATAAGGGACAAAAAAGATGATGACCGGGAGTTGGGGACCCCTGTCAAAGACCACATATTGTCCTGTGAAGCTACCGTAGCACCGTAAATTACAATATGATCTCAATGCTAGATGGGAGTAAAAACTACACATGTACCTTTGAAGACTCCATTGCTCCTTTAACCACTGATCTCACTCAGTTTGTGGAACCACTTTCTTTTCTTATATTTTCTGTGAAGTGTGGAGTGTGACATCACCTGGAGAACATGGCGAGTGTGAGCAGACCCAACACAAACTCAGCGCAGTGGAAGCACAGCAGCAGCGCTCCCAGCACCAGCTCCAGCCTCAGCACGAAGGTCTGCAGCAGAAGGAAGTACACGCAGAGGGCAGCAGAGGGCAGCAGCACCAGGAGGGAGATGCCAGAGGCCAACGAGCGCTCACACAGGTTCCCCTTCTCCGCTGGGACACACACACAGACACACACACACACGCACACACACACACCTAAATATTGGCTTTTTACCTATTTTGTTACATTACAGCCTTTAGTTCAATGTTTTTGAATCTGAATTTCATGTGATGGATCAGAAATTGAAATTGAGAAAAATATATACATAAAACTGTTTTTCAGAAATAAAAAACTGGAAATTGGCATATGCATATGTATTCACCCCCCTAAAGTCAGTACTTTGTAGAGCCACCTTTTGCGGCAATCACAGCTCCAAGTCGCTTTGGATAAGTCTCTATGAGCTTGCCACATCTTACCACTGGGATGTTTGCCCATTCCTCCTTGCAAAACTGCTCCAGCTTCTTCAAGTTGGATGGTTTACGCTTGTGAACAGCAATCTTTAAGTCTGACCACAGATTTTCTATTGGATTGAGGTCTGGGCTTTAGGCCATTCCAACACATTTACATGTTCATGTTCACACTCACACCTAAAGCCTAGAGTATACTTGCGCGGCGTGGCTTACGTTAGCGGTTGCGGTGGACCTACGTAAGCACAATTGATGTTATACTGGCGCGTTCCCCTTACGGAGTTTTGAGGAGAATGTTGTAATCCCACAACAAACCACATGAGGGCGATCACACAGGAGCGGTCCCATTTACGCTGCTACTTTGTCCTCTTCAGAACAACAATAACAAACAAAGCTGTTTGAGCTCATTACACGTGTTTCTACTGCAGGTTTATGTGATAGTTTTATGGATTCATTATTTTATAAGTCATTTCAACTGTGATGCTGTGAATAAAGACACAGTTCTTGTTGGAAACATAGTTATTATTAAATAGTTTTCAGCACAAACAGCAAAACAATAATAGTGGTAAATATCTGAGACAAACATGAACGATTTACGAGTGCAGGAGGAAAGCAACAAACGCAGATACGATTCAAACAAAGACAGGAACAGTGCAAAACAAACGACTGCACAGTTTATAAGTTATATATATGTTAGATATAAGTTATATATATGTTAGATAGTCCACAGTCTCCTGTATATCAGGCTCTGAGCCCAAACTGCTTTTCCTTCGAAGCACAAAGCTCTCTGCTCCATAGTGCCTCATCCATGTCCCTGCTGCAGCCGCTTCATGCTTCCTTCCAATACACGGACCAATCACAGCGGAGATTCCTTGCGGCGACCCTTACGTAGTTAGAAAATTTCGATGCTGCAGGACAGGCAACGTAAGGGCCTTGCGGTGACCAACGCGTTGCGCAAGTGACGTCACGTCACCTCCGTAAGCTCCGCGCCGCGCGAGTATAAACTAGGCTTTAATATGTGCCATTTATCACATAACATTTCACTTCTGTCACAAATGCTATGCTACGATAATCCTGAAAATGCTCCTGGAGAATTCAAATGTATATAAATAGAAAATGTTTATTTGATATTAAATGGCTTCACACAACCACTAACAATGAATGATAAAAACATATTTTTGTGTAGTGTCATTTATAATCAAACAAAATATCTGCCTGGGTGTTAAAACTTTCCAGCGTTCTCGACTGAAGTTTGCCCTTTTTACCATAGAAGATCCGGAGCGTCTCTAAAGCGGCAAACAGCGCCATCATGACCACGTCCAGAGCCAGGTTCTCTGAGGGGTACGGCAGCAGCACACCTGGGGAAGCACCAGATTACAGGTTTTTGCGTCTACATTTTTTCATTGAGTTTTAGTATTTGCAAAAACCAGAACAAAAACACAAGAACAAACAGTGAGGTCTGGGGCATAACCAGGGCATATATTAACCATAACATAATAGATCCAATAGGCGACAGTAGCTCAGTTGGTAGAGCATTGGCCTTTGGGCCTGAAGGTCGTGGGTTCAAGCCCACCATAAGACCTACTTCACGACTCCCACTGATGACTGCTGTCGTTGTGTCCTTGGGCAAGACACTTAACCCCACTTTGCCTAAAGCTCCCCCTGAAAGATCTCAGCTCCTGTGGACTCACCACCTGCAGGAGGATCAGTGAGGGGCTGGTGCTAAGTGGACTGGGTGCAGCTCTGACTGCCACCCCCCCGACCCAGAAATGGATTAAGGGGAAGAAAATGGATGGATGGATGGATAATAGATCCATCACAGTGATTTAAAAATACACAAAATAAAACGTTTTTGAGTTGTGATTTAATGATTTTTCCCAAATTGACAAGTCCATGGTTATTTTTGACCCTCTGAAACAAGCTAAATGTACTTTCAAAATAGAGTGTCAGCTTTAAGAAGATTGTTTACATGTTTACGCCTATAATGCTTAATTAATGAAACGATTAATTATTTATTCAAATAATTGTTAGTTACAGCCCTACTCCACTCATTTTCAGTTTGTTCCGTCTTCCACCGTGGTGATTAGACTGTTCTACTGCGCCCAAGAGGTTTTTACTTTGTGACATATTTTCTGATTTTTGACTTTTATGTTTAGTTCCACGGCCTGCTCGGAGCCCCCACTGGACCAAGCCTTTTGTTTTCTTCAGCCAAGCCTGCTGCACTTTTTGTTAAATAAATATTTTGACTGCCATTTCAGCTGTCTGCTTTGAGGTCCACATATCTCCCCGCGCATTCTTTGAAATTTTGTGTTTAGTGGAAACTGTTAGGAATTAAAACCCTGTGTAACTTACCTTTGTAAATAAACATAAGTATCTCTGCCACGTAGAAAGCAGCGAAGTACCACCTGTTTAGATAGAGCAGAATCTGCAGAGGAGCAGAGGAGAGCTGGGACACGGTTAAGGACTAAACAGCACACCGGACTCACCACAACTCATTCAAGACCGTATGAGGCTAAAAAGCACCATTATCACACCGATAAAACTGTACCACAGAAAGACAACCCAAGTGCCAAGAGTTAAGACCATGGAGTAGCTGAAAAAGGCAATATTTCACCATGAACTTATTACAACCATCTACAGCAATAGTATTACTGAGAAAATTACGTCTTTTCAGTGACCCACACAAAAGTTTTTCACAATTGCACCTCTGTGATTGGGGATCAGCACTATACTCGAATTATTTTCATATACATAACATTTTTAATTGGTTCAGATATCTCCCTAAATACCTTTAAACCCAAATTATGAGCCACAACAGGCTGCGTCACAGAAGGATACAATCGGATGGCTCCCTGCAAAGACAGAGAGAAAATGTTAGATGTTAAATCAACTTTTATCAATCTATAACACTACACCGCACTACACAGTGATTTTTAGGAACAGAATGATGCATGTTTGTGTTCAGTTGATATTGACTATATCTTTGGACTAGAGCAGAGAAAATGGTCCGAACCAAGCGGCTACTCCACCTTTTGACCTGTCCTGCTCCACCCAGAGGCTACTCCACCTGCGCTGCTGTGACCTGAAGGGCTATTGCTGATTATTACTATTGTTGTCTTTTCAGAATGATCAATTTTATTTTATTATTTTTGCTGCTACTGGACACCTGAATTTCTCCTATGGGGATCAATAAAGTATCTATCCATCTACTTTGGCTACAATGAAAAATAAAACAGGCAGAAAACAGCTCTGTCCATGATACCTCAGTCTAAGGATTCATCATAGTGTAATGTTTGAAACTGAGCTTTTACACAGAAGGGATGGGGGCTGTATGTGCCAGAATCTCCTGATATTTGTGTGTATGGCTCTAAAAACAACTGCAAGTTTGTGTTGTTAAAAAGACAACTCTTTGGTCTATCTTCGCCAGCAGGGAGCAGTTCTGGACAGGTTTTAAAACATATTTTTAACCAAACAAAAGTTTGAATTTCTCTGACTGTTCTTGATTCTTCTCGATAATGAAATTGGATATTTGAATGTAGCATATTTAAAACCAATATGATCTATTTTTAACTTTTTTGACTCTATTTTTTACATATGAAACATTCATTTAACCAAAGTATTCCTATAACTGAGGCCTACCACTACTACTTCTATGACTACATAAACATAAACCTTCTTCCAGCCAAAATGTGGACATTAGAAAACATGTGATCATTTGCATATTGCTACATGTAAGAAAGAGTTCTTTAGACTCTTTTTGTAAAAGCTGATTCAAGGGATGTGTCAAAGACCAGAAATACATGCATGTGAAAACTAGTGATCGACAAACTAGAACCAGGGCCTAGTTTGCAATTGTTTACCTAAATGAAAATAGGAGCAATAGTTCTGAGACTAGTAAAACAAGTTGAGCTTATATTGAATAGCCCATTCTGTTTCTGTCTAACTCGCTTTCATTTGAAAAACTTTACACTGTGGACAGTTTAAACAAACTGTGTCATCATCAAATACACAACCAAACATGTAAACATCTATCTGAGGTGTTCTTTGACCAGAAAGGTCATATATAAGCATGAAACGGAATGAGCGCAACCTAACAACACTTACCCGACGCCATCTTGGATTGCCATGGAAACCACCCCGCTTCGAACGAGGACTGTATCTGAATTCAGTACATAAGTTTCTCTTTCTATTTTCCTTGCGATTTAAAGCTGACTTTTTCTTAGACAAGCTCAGTCATGTGAATATTAAGACTATTTAAATACGGTGTCAACGAAGTTTAAAGCATTGTCAGCATTATTAGTGAGGAGAAGAACGGGATACTTTATCAATTTGGATGCAGCCGGGGTGTACTGCTGCAAACACGGCACCACAGCGACAACCAGCGGTGACACAATAGAACACAATAATCTTGTAAAGATTATTATAAATATTAATGTTACGTTAAATAAGATTTTATTTTGATAGAACCTTGATGTAATTGACGGAATGATTTTGAATTTCATGGGACTATTTTGTGTGTTGCTTTCTTTTTGCTTTTAATTAATTATCATCAAGTGGGCCGCTTGTAATTGCTGTTTTTTTCATGATCTATGCATCCACCCATTTTCTTTCACTTGATCTATTTTTATTACGGAAATTCAACTAAATCCAGGCATAACAACTATATCTTTAACAGTTGGCACTCTATACCACAAGACAAAAAACAATATCAAGATTAAAACTGAAATACAAAGATTAAAAAAGAGGTAGGACGAAGAAAAAGCTGATTTGTTTTCATATCAGTTCAAGAGCCACTAAACATGTATATTGCTATTATAATACATCTAAATATCATTCTTTATTTGTTCTGTGTGCACATGTGGTCCAGTCCAGCCGCGCTCTGATTGGCCCACGCAGCTCTTGTAGCCGTACGTGGCAGTGCTGGCTCTGCGCATGCTCAGTGCTCTCTCCTCCCCCGGTGTGATAGCAGCAAAGATGGCGGCGGTCAGACTGGGATCCTCTGCGCTGTCTCTACTCCTGCTGAGTCTCCTCTCTACGCTGGTGTCTTCTCTGTACTTCCACATCGGGGAAACGGAGAAGAAATGTTTCATAGAAGAGATCCCAGATGAGACCATGATCATCGGTGAGTGACGAGCCTTTGGTTAGTGGCGAATGCTAAGGACCAATGCTAAAAGTGCTAACCAGCCGGACATGTCACTTAGTCAATGGGATGTTTTAAAAGGTCCAATCAAGCATATGTTTTTCCTAAACCAGTAGCCAGACGCACCTGTAGATTACAAGTCAAGTGCTCTGAGTGTCTGTAATGATGACACTTCTTGTAGCCACTTGACTAACTTAAGGCGCACTAATAGTCTACATTAAAAGCAGGTTATGCCTATGTGAGTGAGTGGGCTTGCATATTCACACACCTGACTTGTCCTATTTGGTTATCAGGTTTGTTTCCTTGTACTTGTCCTGTATGCCCCAGTATTCACTTAATCTTGCCCCCTCCTCTATAAAACACACGGAGCGTTTCAGATTATGATGATGAAACTCACACAAAATAAAGTTGAAATTTAGACTCCAAATCTAGCTTTCTTGTTTGGAGTTTGTACAGTTTGCCTAAATCCTTTGTGACTTCCTGGTTGGTGCAGCAGATGTACAGGGGACTAACCTGTCAGCATCTGTTTTTGTGTGGTATGAGTTAACAAGCATTCATTGGAAATATATTTAGTTTTTAGAAACAGATCTGAGGAGTATGCCTGAAAAGATGGATAGATTACTTTATTTGCAGACTCAAGGTACAGGTCAACACAGACAAAAAAACACAAAATAAAATGAACAACAAACCATAAAAACCTCTAAACTTTGAAGAGGCAGTCATTCCAATGTTTCCAAAGCAGCAATGTGTAACGAACATTTTTTGAATTGTTCAAGCGACATATAAACTTAAACATCAAATTTCTCAAGACAGCTTCCAAAGTGTTTACTCAATTTGACACGAAGAGTTCACTGACTCTTGTCCATCTGGGCTTTTTTAATAAAATTCTCAGCGCATCATTGTAAGCAACTGTAAGTTTCTGAAATCTGGACTTTTTGTAATTGACCCACAGGTGTGCTGTGTACAGAGGTGAGCAGTGGCTCCAAACAGAGCTACTTTCACCTGTACAGAGCAGGGGGAGAATTTCCGAGACAGGGTGTTCGCCTGTGCGTATAAAATCCTGCACTGACGGTACAGGTCATCGGTCATCGGTCAAACGGTCAGTTATGATGTGACCGAGGTACTTGACCGCATCACACACAGTCAAGATGTTCCAGAGAGACTAAAGTCAGGAAACTTCAGGGATCTGTCCTTAGTCCGGCAGATCAGGATTATACTTTTAGTGGAGTTGTATTTTACATCCTGAAGTTCCCCAAACTCAGAAAGTTCCATACATTTTTATTTTTCTCTACACCCAAATATTATTGAGCAGTTTGCATCTACTCACATTTTCACATACTATGTTTGAACAGAAGATGTTTTTCATTTCACAATTAGTTTATCACATTAGTGCATTATTTTTGGCATTCATGACATATCTTTCCTTCCTTCCAACTGTACAATGAGAACTGTTGAGCCTGTACATGTCATCTCATCTGTAATTATTAGTATATTTTGCAATCATGTGCAATGTGCAATTACTGCAATTTCAGAATGTCCTCTGAATGCATATGACAGCTATATATATTGTATATTGTGTGTGCTCTTATTACTTTCCTGTATGTGCGCTGCAACATCGACATTTCCCCAGTGTGGGATGAACACATTTTCTCTTATCTTAATATTCCTTCAAAATAGGGCTGTGATGGTTGAGGCCCCGCTCAGACGTCTAACCTGGAGCTTGTTTGTGTTTGCAGGTAACTACCGCACCCAGCTGTACGACAAACAGAAGGAGGAGTACCTGCCTGCCACTCAGGGCCTGGGGATGTTTGTGGAGGTGAAGGACCCTGACGATAAGGTACCAGCCCCCGCCGGCTCGTAATGCCTTCATAAAGACTCAATTCTATTTCAACACACAACGTTTTCACGTTCCAAATAGTTCCAGCATTTTTAAAAATCCTTGCCTCTAGCCCAATGGATTGTTTGAGTTTCCCTGTATTTATTTTATTCATTTGACGAGTGTACACAATCAACATGTGAAACACTACAGCATTTATAGCCAAGACTAATGTGCAATGTCCGTCCTCAGAAGAGCTCTTCACACAATTAACATTATACATTGTTACATTCACATTATACAAAAATATTATGATTTGATAGTGTTGCAATATTTGGGCCACAATTCAATATTATTGGCTCTTAACATATTGCGATACAGCCAGTATTGTCATTCGATTCTGCGATATATTGCAATTCATGTCCCTCATATTATTCAATGGCTTTACAAAAATTGAGAAAAATAAGACGGCTCATTATCATGGTCTACACATTAACTTTGGCGGATAGTGCAAAAACCTTGTCCTTGAACATTCAGAACACAGGGCCTTATTCAGAATCAGACATACTTATTCTCTGAACAGACAACTCACATAATTGGTGAGCTCCCAGCATATCACTTAAATTATTCAAATAAAATGGACGGTAACAAAATTCGTTTATTTTTTCCCTCACCACTAAACTTTGTGACAAAACAGTGGGTTGGACAATTACATCGAGTCTTTGGGTGTGACCATAAAGAGCTACAACAACTCAAGCTCTGTCAGATTAGACGAAAAGTGTTTGAACAGAAATTGGACTTAGGTCTGAGTGTTGCTATTCTTAAACACCTATGTTTTTTATGGTTGTTAGAATGACAAAATGTGCAAACGTCCAAAATGAAAGCCACTGTATAAGTGAACTGTGGATGAATGACAAAAAAACTAGTTGTAAAAATCCGGAAATTTTCAGGAATATTCATATCTCATGCACATAGCACACTGTTGCTTTTGAGACCACGCTCCCTAATGGCCCCGTACATGTCTTCTTCACATGTACAGAAGATTCTAGAAGACTGGACCAAACTTTTGAGCCCAAAGCACAAGACTGGTTAGTCCACAGGATCGAATATGTGCCTTCAATACAGTGAAGTAAGCTTTGATATTATAGGGAATAGGGATGTAAAAAACTATGAGTTTTCATGACCGACCACCGAGCCTCATTAACCGGTTGAAACCGGTTAACCGCGTAGTTTAAAATACTCCACGTTCTTTGAAATAAACTACTCTGAAGCTTTACCTGAATAAGTCCTGTCCCACTGACTGTCTTGCCTGTGGTTTGTGGTTGTGCTGCAGGTGATCCTGTCGCGGCAGTACGGCTCGGAGGGACGCTTCACCTTCACGTCCCACACCCCCGGAGAGCACCAGATCTGCCTGCACTCCAACTCCTCCAAGTTCGCCCTGTTCGCTGGAGGCATGCTGGTAACGGCCTCTCCCTCCATTCACTGCCACCCCCTGTGTTCACTGCAGGGACTTTCTTTAATATATAGAACTTACATACTAGCATAATACAGAGCCATATGTTTTAGTTTATAAACAAATGCATTGAAAGTTACTGACGTCACGCTTATTTGACTCAAATCTGAATCTTTGGAGTCGTCACCAAATGAGAGAAATGGGCAACGATTGGTGGTAGGACTGAAGCAGGACACCGTAGGTTTACACAAACCTGTAAGAATCAATGGAGATGGATCATTTCTTATAACCATGGAAATAGTTGCTAATAGTATGTCCCCTTTAAACTGGACATTCAGGTTTTGACATGAGAACTTGTGCTTCCAGAGAGTTCATTTGGACATCCAGGTGGGAGAACACGCCAACAACTACGCCGAGATAGCAGCTAAAGACAAACTGTCGGAGCTGCAGCTGCGGGTCAGGCAGCTCATGGAGCAGGTGGACCAGGTCCAGAAGGAGCAGAACTACCAGCGGGTGAGCCCCAAAAGTATTAGTCTGGAAAGGATCCGAGGGCGGCTGTGATTTTGTGTGGATAAGAGAAGGGGTGTAAAAATGTCTGAGGCAGCTGAAGTGGGTTTTAAGGTCACCAAAAACATAACGAAGACAATGTTTCACTGTAAATCTGACTCACAAATGAATGTCTGGTTTTTAATAGTTTGTCCCAACAGAAAGAGTGTAAACAAGACATAACGTGCTGTCTTCATCTATTTAGAAAGAACTGGATACTGTGTCATCCTCTTTAGCACTTTTCTGTCTGAAAAAGTTGCTCTAAAGATTTGACAGTCCAGAAATACATTCAAGTGAAAACTAGTGCCGGATATTTTACATGTTTATTTTTTGTGGATTACAAGTGAAAGGAATGAATGTAAAATACTGTGGTAATACCGACAACCACAACTGTAGCTACAATAACCATCAGCTAAAATGTTTATACCATAACATTATTGGATGATAGCAATGAGACTTTCTGTTGGCACAAACGCATATGATGCATGTAAGAATAAAGTAGGGAGACATAGGTTTTTTGTCAGTTCCTTCATGAAAACATTGCACCAAACTTGCTGACGCTGATCAAACCTCTTCTGATTGTTTTTTGTGTTTGCTCAGTACCGCGAGGAGCGCTTCCGTCAGACCAGCGAGAGCACGAACCAGCGAGTCCTGTGGTGGTCCATCGTCCAGACGCTCATCCTGGTGGCCATCGGTATCTGGCAGATGCGCCACCTCAAGTCCTTCTTCGAGGCCAAGAAACTGGTGTGAGGCCCAGGACGACCAAAGCCGCCACTACTGCTCGACTGCTCCCCAAATCAGCCCGCCTCCGCTCATCTCTCCCCCCTTTTCATTTCAAAGCTCATTACTCGTCTGGGTTTGGGACGGGACGCCGTAAAAGTCCCGTGGATACGATTGTCACGACCAAAGGTGATCTGGGACTGAGCGGCTTTGAGTTATTGCGGTTTCATGGTGTAGTCCCTCATTCGTCCAGCAGTGGTACGTTGAACCGGTGTCAAAAGTTATATGAACCAAGTGTGAGAGCGCAGTAGTGTTTCCTGGTGAGACGACGACTCCTGAGTGGGGTCTGTCTCCATTCTGTGAACTTGGTCCATATGAGCATTTATGAAGAAATTGCAGTGATACAATTTTAAATATGTTGCAGCCTTAGATTGTGTTCCAAACAGCCCTGTTGAGAGAAATGTCCGATTATCGTGAGTTGGAGCCTCAAACTCTATGGAAGAGCCTCCATTTGAAACTGAGTTGAGTAAACATGATGATTTGCTGGGAGGATATCTTTTGTGCTTCACTCTGGCAACAAAATGACCTGCTACAGGGATTCAATGTAGAAGAAAAATACCCTAAATTAGGATCTAAAAGTTATGAGAAGTCGTCAAAATTCAGCTCAAAAAAACATTTGGGCTATTTTTTAAATCACTTGAGTGGTGTCAATTTGACCTGAGGATAGTGCACGGTTTAATCAAATTCATGGCATTTTTCAAGGCAATTAGTGCAAAGTAGATTTTCTTCCTAAACTGAATTTTAGGCACTATACCTGCCGATTTTCTCATATTAACCCGTTTCAGTCAGATAATAAATAAAAAATATAATTTGAACCTGAGCACAACCAAATTAACTTTTCTTTACTTGTTTAAAAATGTGATTTGTATTATTTTTTTTTAATTATTATTGGTATTTTAACATTAGTATCTGCAAATGTCAGTTATCCGCTAGCACCAGCAGTAAAGTTTCAGATAACGGAGGATGTAACCATGTCTGCCAAATCATCTTCAATAAAAGACGAGGCCAAATCTAGACCCAGCAAATGGAACGTCGTTTTTGTTGCTTTGAAATGAAATGGGGGTTTTTGAAATCTTCGTCCAAAACACGCGGCGGGTACTGCACAAAACAAAGTGTCTGAAACGGGCGCCCCTGAAGTGTTTGCTGTTAACGTTACTGGCCGCTGGAGTTTGATTTTCCACTATTTTTAATATATTAACAAATGAATGCAGTTTTTACGTAGAGGAAAGGTCTTAGGGCCTGTGTGGACATGGATATTATTACCACTGTCGTTTTCTACGGTCTATAAAGTTATGAATGAGATTGTTGGAAATGTGGATTTGTAATAATACCTATGTTTGTGCTTCTGTCCTAATATTTTGTTTTTTTATGGGGTTTTTTGTTTGGTTTTTATTTAAAATCTGGGTTATTTTTGTAGACTGTGTGAAGATTGCACTCGAGGTAATGAGTTTGAAAGGTTTTATCAAACTGACAAGATTTGTTTAAATAAATGTGGAATAAAAAGTGAGTGGAGTGGGTATTTTATGTGTAAGTAGTAAGTAATCTTTATTTATCAAGCACATTTTTATACGGATGAAAATAATACGCACAAGTCAGATTTAAACTTTCCTCCCATGATTGAAGCGCACACAGCAACATGAGTAAATAGATACTTTATTTATTGTTGTAGGAGAAATTCAAGTGTAGCAGCAAAAACACATCCATCCACACAAACAAAACACAAGGGCAACAGTAGCTCAGTTGGTAGAGCATTGAATTCATTTTAATTCGTACAAAAACATATACAGGTCATTCTCCAGAATAAATTGGCCATAATGCAGCAGTGTTGTCAGATTGATAATCCCTGTGAACCAAAAGGGGACTGGGGAGTCCCAGATTTGGAAGCACTTGACCCTTGCAATAGCTTCATGCGTGACCATACGTGGCCTGGGTCTCCATGTTTCTTCCATCATCAACAGCCTAACATAAACACAGTAAATGCAGTGTAAAAAAAAAACAACCTCTAGTTGGCTGTCGATGCCAATACCAAGACATTTTGCAGAAACGGGTTTAGTTCCTTTAAGAAACATTACCAAATTCCGCCCCTCTCTTCCCTCTGATGCTGAGAAGCTGGTGAAAAGAGACTGAGATTGAGTGTACGTAGCTTTACAAAAGTGTTTTGTGTTTAGAGTTTTGTGATAAGTGAGGGCAGTATTGTGAAATGTGTTTAAGCAATAGAGAAATACTGTAGTAAAAGGGCCAAATTAGTTCACCAGACTAGTCCAGGGGCCGACTTCATGGACTGAACAACTGTCTTGACTAGCATCGGGTTGTTCTGAGCTTTATAAAGATCTATAAGCTGAAGTTATTGGCTGAATGACAAATGTTTATCATCTCTAGCTTACTTCCTGTTACTGTTCCGCTAATCTACCTCCTAGAGCCCTGTGCTGCTTGCATCCTGCCAACTTCTGCACTTATTACGCTTATCATGGTGATGCTCCATATGTAATTTTGTTGTTTTTATGACAATGAATTATTAAATCTTGAATTGAATTGAATCTCACCAGCTCACAAGTCAACGACTGAATTACAAAATGTCTATATTGGCTAAGCTGAAGTTGGATGGATGACACAATGAACTTGTGTTTATGATCTTAAAAACTACTTTGGGTTAGCAAGGCAGGGGGCCACATAAAATGACACTGAGGGCCACAATTCCCCCTGGGCCTGAGCTTGGACAAGCCTGAACTACTGCCACATTCTGGAAACAGTTAATTTGCATCTCCAAAAAATTCATCCCCAACACCACTTTCCACTATCAAGATTATGCACTTTGGTTACTAAAACAAATACAACACCAAATACAACCTGCTTAATCTGTTAGACATTGTGGACAAATTTCACATTCGCACATGACTAAATCTGTTATTCATTCATCTTGAATAGAAAACCCCTCTTCAACATATTTCAACACAAAAATTAATCTATATAAGCAATATACTAATCCTTCAAATCACCCAAAAGCAATAAAAAACAATCACACTTTTGTGAAATATTCTCAATTTAAATCCACCCTATTTTTTATTTGTTATTGTTGTTCTGTGTTAATTGTAGAAAGGTTTATTTCATAACAACCTCCTTTACTGCAGCTGCCGCGAGTGTTATAGCCCGTTATCGCCCTCTTGTGGATCAAATGTCTGCTTACGTATGTTTCACGGACCAAAAAAACGTGTAACTGTGTAAATGAACAATATATTTTTTTCTTCCCCTGATTATTATTGATGTACACAAGGGAAGTACAAAATGAGGTGCCCTAAACATTCTGCTAATGATATAAAAAGTTGTGACGAAAGTGTGATTGTAATGGTGATACATTTATTAGACCACTACGACCCATTAATTGTTTTCTAGATCGGTAGGAAACCCGATATTCGATTAACTAAAGAGCAACATAATGATTACTGAAAACAAGCAATATTTCTAAATAAAATATATGTGGAGAACACAGGCGGAACCCTAAGTACTTAGCCAACTGGTTCGAGACGGAACTATTTACCGTTGCACCCCTTCACAATCGGGCTGTGTTATTTTTTGTTTACTTCCAAATAATCTCTATTTGGGGTTTATTTTATATTTAATCGTAATAAATCCTCATGTACATTGGATTAGCGTTAGTCGAGGACTTCCTTAGCAAGTTGTCACCGTAAAAGTTTAACTCAATCCCCGCTAAAAGTGCGAATGTGTGCGCCTCCATCACCGCGACATGCTACGTGTACAGCAGCCACAGCAGCCGCTCAGTGCACAGCCATAGACTGTCTACGAATATTGGCCATTTATGATGAGTTTTAATCATTATAATGGGTGTTCAAAGCTTTGCGGTTTTAAAGCTTAGGTTACTTTAGCACGTCGGGTGTAACGGCGTCATATGAGGTTATTATGGACAGTTAGGTGCCTGTAAATGTCTTTGAAACGTAAAGGAGCCACGTTCAGACTGTTCCCATCACAAAGATGATGTATTCTTCTCGGAGAAAACCTGTGTTGTATTTCAAAGAGGAGAAACGGTAAGACTTTATTCATAATCATCTCATGAGTTATACACTGGGTAATGTTGTTGCATTCAGTTTGAACAGGAATGAAATGTCAAAAATGGATAAGACGTGAGTAATGTAACCTTGGTTGGTGTGGAATGTGCTGGGAGCATGGAATTGTGTAGGAGCAGTATGGAACTTGTTTTGGTTGGCAAATAATCGTGATTTAAATTATCACTAACATATAAGCACTAAGCAATACATTGGGATGGAGTACTTAAAGCTGGGGTACAACTTTTTTGTTAGTTTCACAAGTGTGTGCCTGTAGTGTGTGTGTGTGTGTGTGTGTGTGTGTGTGTGTGTGTGTGTGTATCCAGTCAGATTACACAGATCATACAAGAATTGGACGTGTATAATGAAACGAAAGTCTACAGAGCAGTGCCTTGCATTTACAGAGTTAAGGAATAGTTATATTATCAATCAAGGCTGTCTGGGAAGGTCAGCCTCCAACATATTTATGATCTTTTGATGTCATCAGCATTAAGTAATATGTTGTGTTCTTGACTATAGCTCATATGTGCAATAGATTGCAAGACCACATAGAAGGGGACAACAAGGACAGCCCTGCCAGGTTCAAGAATTTTAATGACAGTTTGTCCAAATTTTTTTTTTCAAAGTTGGTCCAAATATGTCTACACGAGCATCAGGAACAGACACTAACCTAACTGTTCTGTGGAAAGTACTGGACAGGACCAGAACATAGGCATCAGCTTCCCATTTACATATCTGCATCAGCCACAAGTTGGGTCCACATTGGGTGATAATTTTGAAAGACTTTGTTAATCATGTGCAATGCAGTATTTCAAAGTAAGATGCCATATTTAAAACTGAATCAGTCAGTGTTTAAGCACAAATAGAGAAGTGTTGCCCCTAGATTGTTAATTCTAGACATGGGGCACCACTCTTCAGTGGCAGAAACTGATTCGCCACTGAATCAGTCTGTGCTTAAACACGGACTGATTCAGTTTGAAAATAGACCTTTTCTAGAAATATTTTTGAAATAAAAACTATAGAGGGAGTTCTCTGAAAGCTCTTTGAAAAGAAAAACGAGTTCAACATTAAAATAATTGACATTAACTTTCTCCGTCATGGCTTGCCAAGGTTTGTCCTCTTCATATAAGCTATTATATTCTGTTCATAAAACATCAATTTAATCAGAAATGTTTTTAACAAGTACAACAAGCTTGTGTTAAGCTCCAGAGACCTTGTGAGTTGGCATTCAAATGAATACTGACCGGCAAGTTTATTTGTATCGCACATTTCATACACAATGCAACTCAAAGTGCTGAACAAAACAAGATTAAAATTAAAAGAGCATTAAAATCATAAACAATCACAGAACATTAAAAAGAAAGATACAAATATAAAATCCCTCAGTTGTATGCGGAGCTGAACAGGACTGTTTTTAACCTGGTTTTAAACATTGTCATTGAGGAGGCCTGTCTCACATCTTCATGAACACTGTTCCAGATTTTAGCAGCATGAATCTGAAAAGCAGCCTCCCCATGTTTAGTTCTGACTCTGGGCACTAACAGGAGTCCAGTCCCTGTGCTCCTCAGAGTCCGGGCTGGTTCATATGGGACTAACATGTCACTAATATATTTTGGTGCGAGGCCATGGAGAGACTTGTAACAAGCAGAGCTGTTTTAAAGTCTATTCTCTGAGCCACAGGAAGCCAGTGCAGAGACCTGAGAACTGGACTAATGTGGTCGTACTTCCTGGTTCTAGTCAGGACTCGAGCTGCTGCATTTTGAATGTACTGCAGCTGTTTTACAGCCTGTTTGGACAGACCTGTGAGCAGGCCATTGCAGTAGTCTAACCTACTGGAGACAAATGCATGGATAAGAATCTCCAGGTCTGCTTTAGACACTATGTTACTTGTTGTTTACTAGCGTAAACAACAATGGCGGCGGGTACACTAATGCTAACGTGTGCTTCAAGCGCTACACAGAGGATAAATCTTCTTCAGTTAATGGCTACTGAAAACAATTGTGCATTGTGAAAACAATGTAGTCTTCAGCAGCCATCTAAACGCTCTGCAGGAGCCTGGTCGTTTTTGCTTATTGATTTGCAGCGTGTTTGTGATTTTTTTTTTAAACATTCTGTTTATTGGGTTTTCACAAATGTATACAGTTTGGCAATCCAAAGCCCCTAGAGGGGGTCCTCAAATTTTGAGGGGGTTAGATTTATATATTCCGTTAGATATATATATGTGTTACGTTATACAGAGAAAAAAAAAACAAAGAAAGGAACATTCACACAAACTATAATGAGAAAACATGCGGACTATTAAAGTGGATTTTTATGGACATACAAATACAATTAAAACAAAAATGTGTAGTTCAAGTTCCCATTTTAAACAGACTAATAAAGGATGCCCATGTCCTGGTAAATGTATCTTCATGACCTTGTAAGGAATATCTGATCTTCTCCAGATCTAAGTGCATCATTACAGCTCTTAACCAAAGCACATGAGAGGGGCTCTGTCTGCTTCAATTTAATAAAATCAGTCTTTGTGCAAGTAAGCACCCAAATTGTAGAACAGTGCGGTCTGACTGTCTTGTTATTCAATTTCGATCTACAATTCCAAGTACTGCTGTGAGAGGAGTCATGCCAATAGTTTTGTGAATAGCTTTTGATAATATTGAAAAAATATTTGACCAAAAAGTGTATAGCTCAGAGCAACCCCAGAACAACGTGTTTGTGATTTTTCACAGATAAATAGATCTTATGATTTAACAAAGACCAAAAATGCATATGAATTACCAGTATGTTACCTGTGCAAGGAGTTTATACTTTTTTCTGGTTTCAAAGAGGTATGCGCTCCAGCTTTTCGTTCATGGATTACTGTAGTTTATGTTGTTCAAGTTTGTTATCAACGTGGCGAGAACTCTGGTCTCTGGTGAACACTGGGGTAGTCTTGCACAGTTTTTCCATTGTGGTTTTACTGCATATGGCAAATAAATTCTTGAATCTTGTGTGCGCAGGTTCCCGTGGCTGTGGCGCTGCTCTCGCTGTAGTGTCTTCCAGCTCTTCGTCCTGTGCGTGGTCCTGGTGCTGGCCTCTCTGCTCTGGCTGCAGCTCACCTGCTCAGGAGACATGTCCTCTGCCCAGCAGAGGTCTGCAGCGCCCTGCCCTCCCGTCCAGGACCCCAGAGCCAAGCCGGAGCCAGAGCCAGAGCCGGAGCCTGGAGCCTGGGGGCCTCACACGCTGGCTCTGGTGGTGCCCTTCAGGGAGAGGTTCGAGGAGCTGCTGGTGTTTGTTCCCTTCATGCACAGTTTCCTCAACAAGAAGAAGATCAGGCACAAGATCATCGTGGTCAACCAGATCGACCACTACAGGTGACGAGAAAATTACAGTTTAATCAAGTTCCAATCAAGTTTATATGTAAAGGACAATTCATGCAGTGCTTCCAAAAGTGCGTTACAATGACATGAAATCATGAACATTTACAAACATTATAAAACATATAAGGTAAAAGAATAATGAAAGAAAAACATATATTTTCAGTTTAGTCTTAAACAATGCTAGAGATGTGGCTTCCCCCACCTCATTAAGAAGACTGTTCCAGATTTCTGGGGCATACACCTGAAACACTGCCTCCTCGTGTTTTAGTCCTGACTCTGGGACCGGCAGGAGGCCAGTCCCTGTGCTCCTCAGAGTCCCAGCAGGAGGCCAGTCCCTGTGCTCCTCAGAGTCCCAGCAGGAGGCCAGTCCCTGTGCTCCTCAGAGTCCCAGCAGGAGGCCAGTCCCTGTGCTCCTCAGAGTCCCAGCAGGAGGCCAGTCCCTGTGCTCCTCAGAGTCCGAGTTGCTTCGTTTGGCACTAACTGCTTTTAAGTCTATTCTCTGAGCCACAGGAGCCAGTGCAAACCCCTGAGACCTGGACTAGTGTGGTCGTACTTCCTGGTTCTAGTCAGGACTCGAGCTGCAGTGTTTTGAACATACTCTAGCTGTCAATTATACCAATGAAGAGTTACAGAATGTGAACGCTGTCACACTTAAAAAAAACATTGATCCTTAATTTTTTAGCGACCAATAATTATTAAATACACTTTTTATTTTGTAATAAAACAAAATCAAAATTTAATCTCAATATTTAATAATATATGTAATAATAATGTATTAATGATGATAATAACAGAAGGGTTAGGCCGGTCCAGGAAGCATCTGGGAATACTTCTTAAAGCCGATCCTTCGTTGCCAGGGCGATGTGTTTAGATTCATTCACTGATGGAAGAACGTTTTAGCCAAAAATGACACAAATCATAAATTCAACCAGTCTTTTCCTAATATGGATCAGTCAGTTTGCAGAATGGACCCCATGGTCCACAGTGGGTATGATGTTCAAACGCCATTCTTTAAAACTATGTAGAAACAACTTTATTGTCCTCTGAGAAAACTTAATTTTCACATACACAGAACAGAGAAGAAGGAAGTCACAACAATACAAAACACAATAACACACATATTGTACACATGTTGTGCAGCTATGGCTGAAGGGACCAAACTCTGGCTGAATCTGGCCTGAGCGCAGCAGAGTGAAGTGTGTGTGGAGAGGATGAGTCTCTGCTTACTGTCTGGGCCAAACGACATTGCACCATGTTAGATAAAAACTTTGAATGGAGTATCATTAAGTATAAGACCAGACTTGATGTTTCCTCTGGTTCCAGGTTTAACCGTGCGTCGCTGATAAACGTGGGCTACTTGGAGAGTGGCAATGACACGGACTACCTGGCCATGCACGACGTAGACCTGCTGCCCCTGAACCCGGCCCTGGACTATGGCTTCCCCCTAGACGGGCCCTTCCATGTGGCCTCTCCGGAGCTGCACCCGCTCTACCACTATAAGACCTACGTGGGAGGCATTCTGCTGCTCACCAAGAGGCACTACAAGATGGTACGGTCTTTTTGTTAAAGTGATGTCTGTAAATCTAAATGAATTACACATTTTAGGAAATGTGTTAAATTGACCTCCTGGCCTTAAATGTTGATATAAAATAAGTAATTTTTATTAATTCTAATATTACGGGCAAGTCCCGCCTTCCCTTCTCTTAGCTATAGCTCAGAATCTACAATGCTGTCCATGTTAACCAATCAGGTGATGCCAAGGGCTGTCAATCATCGCGCTGATGCTCGCAGCTGCTCATGCTCAGTTTGTTTTCACGGAGCCTCAGAATCAAGCCTCTATTAGACTCTGGAACTACAGGAAAACTGAACAAATAATTCTGAACATCTGCGCTGAGTTACCCATTTATATACTGAAACTATATCCATAATCATTTATATACTGAAACTATATCCATAATCATTTATATACTGAAACTATATCCATAATCATTTATATACTGAACCTATATCCATAATCATTTATATACTGAACCTATATCCATAATCATTTATATACTGAACCTATATCCATAATCATTTATATACTGAACCTATATCCATAATCATTTATATACTGAACCTATATCCATAATCATTTATATACTGAAACTATATCCATAATCATTTATATACTGAAACTATATCCATAATCATTTATATACTGAACCTATATCCATAATCATTTATATACTGAACCTATATCCATAATCATTTATATACTGAACCTATATCCATAATCATTTATATACTGAAACTATATCCATAATCATTTATATACTGAACCTATATCCATAATCATTTATATACTGAACCTATATCCATAATCATTTATATACTGAACCTATATCCATAATCATTTATATACTGAACCTATATCCATAATCATTTATATACTGAACCTATATCCATAATCATTTATATACTGAACCTATATCCATAATCATTTATATACTGAACCTATATCCATAATCATTTATATACTGAACCTATATCCATAATCATTTATATACTGAACCTATATCCATAATCATTTATATACTGAACCTATATCCATAATCATTTATATACTGAACCTATATCCATAATCATTTATATACTGAACCTATATCCATAATCAGATCCTCTGCAGATGTGTCCTATAATGTGCAGTTCATGATAATAGCACTTCCTGGTTTGCCGCAATCGCTTTTTTTGTGCATAAAACATTATTTTTTTCATTAAAACGTTAACAAATAATTCTGAACCTCCGTGCATGTGTATTAATAATGTACATGTATAATGTGTTCTCTGATTAACATTTGAAAGTTTTACGGAAACTTAGGCATAGACCAATCAGAAAGGAAGGGGGAGGAGCTTGCGTAGTTTTTTTCAAATCAACTACCTCTCTGTCTCTTTCTGACAAACTCCAGACAATCACTTTAAAGACCTGACATTTTATTAACGTGGCACTTAAACTCATGTAGTCCTGCTCATGAGGACCGCTGATTTAAAAGCACATTCTAGGGTAGGACTGCACGGTGTTGGCAAAATATCTAATTCATTGCACCGTGATAATCGATATCATGTATGTTTAAAACGTCTAATCTTGTTCAGGGTAAAACTTGAAGAGTTTCATTTATAAAAGTGAATCAATTACAGTTATCAAATGTTATTTATAATGCAAAATGCTTTACAGTTCAATTACTGCACACTTCAGAAAATATTTATAGAGCTCTAATCTATAGTATAAAAACAATTGAAGTTATAGTTATCTGTATTTTTGTGCAGTGTGGCAGTGAAAAACACCTTAGTTTCCTGCACTTTTTCTGCTCTCAGGGTCAACATGTTTAGAGCTGCAGAGCTGGAACTTTAATCATTATGATGTCATCGCATTAACACTAATTTGTGAAAGACAAATTTCCCACCTTCAACTCTTTAGCGCCGTCTATAGGAGGCCTCTCGTCTGATTGGCTCCTAAATTGTTGAATAAAATCTATGCACCGATACACTGTAATGTCATATTTTTCTTGTTTGTTCCGCTGTTGACCTCTAGGGCGCGAGGTGTCCTATAAATTACCTTTTTTGTGAGCAATCTTGGTTGAAATGACATTTAATGCCTCTATTTGTCACTGCTACAGCACCACCTACAGGTTTCTTGTCTATAATATTAGTTATCGTTTGGTTAAGGGAGGGTGGGTTCTCTGTTTTGTACTTTTCTGTTTGAAAAATCTGATCTAAAAATGTGACTGAGGCTAAAAAATATATATGAAAACCTTTTTTTTTGCCCTGTTCCCGCTGGGGGTTTGCATTTATATTGCTGTATCACAACCTCTGACTCCTTTTCGCTATATTGATATCGGCCAAAAGCACCAAGTTCAGCCCACGTTTATTTTTCTTTCCGTTTCAGTGCAACGGCATGTCCAACCGCTTCTGGGGCTGGGGCCGAGAGGATGACGAGTTCTACAGGCGTCTGAAGAAGGCTGAGCTGCAGGTAACGACACGCACACACACACACACACACACAGACACAGACACACACACACACACACTGCATACATGTGTGTTGAGGTGTGTTTGGGTCCTGTGTGTGTTCAGCTGTACCGTCCCACCGGGATCACCACGGGCTACAAGACCTTCATGCACATCCATGACCCGGCGTGGAGGAAGAGGGACCAGAAGAGAGTGGCCTCGCAGAAACAGGTACAGAACTATGTCGTTTTCACACATGGTGGTTGATGGTACAAAGGCACACGTGATATTCAATCTTTGGTCAGATCGTAACCCCATCAACACACCGTCACACTTGTTTTGGTCATATGAATCCAGCCCCATCTCTACCCAAACAGAGATGAACAAAGTTGTGTGTGTATGGACTCTTTCTTTATTATGCTAAAGTTAAAGATTTGATTTTTATTCAAGTATAGAGTCAGTGCTCACATACAGTATCTTTTGCTGTGTGCTCCTCATTCCTACTGTTATGTAACTGGTGATATAACACTGACATTTTCCCACTGTGGGACAAATAAATGATCTCTTTAGTATTTGAGGTGTGAGCATTTGCGAGTGAATCTGACAAAACATTTTGCCAAACTACTGTAGATAATCGGAGCTCACGCGCACAAGAAAGAATGACATTTACAATACGCAAAATGCATTTGTTGATGAAATACGAAAGATGTATGTGCACTTTTATAAGTACATGTCTAAAATAATAACGGCCAAAAAGAAAAAAAGGTCTTTGTGGTCATTACTTTTCACATGAGGAATCCTTACAACCCTGGAGCTGGAAAAGTAGATCTTGGTTTGGTGATGTTTGGCAGCTCCTAACTTAGAAGGAAGGGGCGGGGGGATGTGTTTGTTCCAGAAGTTCCTGATACTGGAGTGGATAGAGCTCAAGCTGTAACGCCCGCATAGGTCCTTACCTTAGTGTCACTCAGGAGGGGTGACATTCTGTATTTTTCAACCAATTTTGTGTACCAGGTCTGTGTTGTGTTTTGTTCCATAAGTCTCCAGGTACTGGTGCTATTATTGTTTTGCCATTGGTGGCGCGCTTGGGGACTCTATTTAGGAGTGACGGGCACGAGCGCGGGAGCGCGCGTGTTCTGACGTCAGACGCCGACTTGGAGTCAGGCCAGCACCTCTACCTGGAGTTTTTGTGGATTATAATCTCTGTTGGAGTATCGTTCTTTTGGATTACCGTGTGCAGAGGGATCAAACGAGACTCTGTGGATTATCTCTCCATGGTCGCTGGTGGGCTCCAGGACCTGTTTTTGTGAACCTTGGCGCATGCGCGGGGCCGTGAGTACACCGTGGCTTCACCACTGACACTGACTCTTTCTTTTTGTTTCCACATATTGAGTTCTTAGTGGCTGTTTGTGATCGTATTATGTTTTGTTGTGTGGGGTCGCGCTCGAGCGTGGGGGGGTGTTGGCGCAGTTGACTGGGATCAGTAATAAATAGCCAGTCTTGTGCCAAATGCATGTTCGGTATCTGTGCTTATTTCACCCCGCTGATGTGACATCTCCTCTCGCGACCCTTTTAAAGCGTTGTAGCTCTGGTGTCTTGAAAAGTTAGGCAAATTGTTACAAAGCGTCCATGGAACACGGGAAACTCCAGATGTTTCCTCATATGTATGTGCCCTCTGAGCTTCTACCTTTTTTCCAGGAGCAGTTTAAGGTGGACCCAGACGGCGGCCTATCCAACCTCCGCTACAGCGTGGAGTCCCGGCAGGAGGTGACCATCAGCGGGGCCCCATGCACCATCATCAACACCAAGCTGGAGTGTGAGACGGAGAGCACGCCCTGGTGCCTGCTGGGATAGCCTCCTCTGACCCCATGCCAACCCTGTGCAGACCTGAACTGTGGCGGCCATCTTGTGACTGTGGCACACATTGACGTTAGGGAGGAATGAGTTTACCCTTTCGCTTTTACTGCAATTTGTATTTTATGTTCAATAATGTGATCCTCAAAGTTCACAGTTTAGTCACATGGTCCAGAAACCCCTCGAGGCAAGAGACCGGAATAATGAGACAAAGACATCCTTTCTTCTCCTTTTCATTTGACCGAAGAGGTATCTAAAGGTTTTACAATTTACTTGATCAAAAATGGATCAAGTAAATTGTTTAAAAAGCAAAATGACCAAACAGGATGAGGACTGAAATAAAAATAAAAAAAAATAAAAAAAATCTAATGTTGCCTGGATGAATAATACGTTACAATGTTTTGTTCTCTATTTATTTTTATTTTTCTTTCACTTCCCCTTTTGCATTTCTGAACTTGGAGAACATTTGAAATATGACCATGTTACATTCAAAGAAGAGACGTCATAAGTATCAAATCTCAAATAAATATTTTTTTAAAGATAACTATGCGTTGACCCATTGGGATGATGTGGAGCCCTGTGAGATAGAGGTCTACTTACTATAATCAGAATTAATAAACAAAAAAAAGATATTATAAACATGTAGGGAACCGAATGGAGGGGCGACAGTAGCTCAGTTGGTAGAGCATTGGCCTTCAGGCCTGAAGGTCGTGGGTTCAATTCCCACCTCCACACCTTCTCCACCGACTCCCACTGATGACTGCTGCCGTTGTGTCCTTGGGCAAGACACTTAACCCCACTTTGCCCAAAGCCCCCACTGAAAGATCAAGGCTATGCTCACACTCAGAGAGCAGCCGTCCTCCTGTGGACTCACCACCTGCAGAGGGTCAGTGAGGGGCTGGTGCTATGAGACTTGGGTGGCATCTCTGACTGCCACCCCCCTGACCCAGAAATGGATTAAAGGGTAGAAAATGGATGGATGGATGGAACCGAATGGAAACTTCTGCTACTTGAGCGTCTGAAAAGCACATGAGAAATCTAATAAGCAATTTAAAGAAGTAAAAATAAAGAAACAGCTAGCTTTAAAACACTTAACGGTACTTTCTGGACTATAAGCCGCTACTTTTTCCAATTTTTATGAACTCTGCTGCCTTTACAACAATGCGGCTAATGTATGTACGTTTTAGTTTGTTAGAGCGCCCCCTGGTGTGTAGGAAGTGATTTGGACACAACTCTATGAACCGTTGATCTCCAGAGCTGATGACAAACTGTAGCACACCTTCCTGCTCCCAGCGTGTTTATGTGAACAGCAGATAAAGCCGACATCTCAGAAAAGTTTATGGACTCATTGTTTTGACTCCATTTCATTTAAATAGGAATGTTATTATCAAAATGGGTTGGATTTATCAGAGTGCTTTGATCATCACGAGTCAAGTTGCATTACTGCATAAAAACTTGCAGCTTATATTGAAGGCTTATATATAAACAAAATGTACTTTGTGTCACTGCAAAATTTGCTGACGTAGCATGTGTACAGGTGCGCTTAATAGTCCAGCCAGTGCGATAACCAGCAAATCCAGTAGAATCTGATAATAAAGTTTAATTTCTCTTTAATTCTGTAGAAAACCTATCCTTTTTTATGTTTTGTGTTGCCGTAAGAATGGTCTTTATCCCAATGTCACAAGATGGCGCCATGACTGAGGTGCGTTGGGGGTAAGCAGCTGTAGACAATTCCAACGCTGGAACTGAAAAACATCCACAAAAACTCCCAAAAAGTTGGAGACGTGGGTCAAAAACAAGCAGAACTTGGACCACGAGCACTCCTTCCATGGACATATTAAGCGTTACCGTGGATACGCAGCCGCCATTTTGGATCCAAGACTTTTTTTACGGGACTGGATGCTTTCCAACTACTGGACATAACTTAATATTTTTTTTTTTTTTTTTTTCTTTTGTACATGCTTCAATTTCAAAAGAATAATGAAAAAGGCTGTCTTAACCAATCGTTGTTTATGGTTGTTTTTAGAGAAGCCAAAAAACGTTGTTAGTTTTTGTATTATCGGCGGGATGTGAGTTCTCAAAGTGCAATTTTGTGGCAAGGTTTTAGATTAGCCTGAAAAGTGTTGGTACTGCAAGTATAAAGGTAACATTATTTACATCAGGAGAGTATTTTTTGGCTTAGTTCTTGCACAAATTGGACGTTTCATTCAGATAAAAGCTATGGCGTCAGCTCTTCAAGCAGCTTTTGTTTTATTTCCCAAAACCCTATGCTAGATGAAACTAAACGCAAACTTTAATTGACTGGAATGAGTTGAAATCAGTTTATTTATTCAGGCAGATGCTAAAGCTTGTGTGCCCAGATCTAACTCTACTGAATGACTTGTTTTCTACAACATGTGTTTTTGCGTTTCTTAACATTAAAGTTGTGTCCATTATACCTGTACTTTCTGAACGTGTGTGAGGTTATACCATAGACTGGTTATACATGGGATGCTTGTAATTCACACAGTCACCACCAGATGGCGGTGTTTCCCTGCTTTGCCTGTTTGACTGTTTCAGCACACCTTAAACAGGGGTGGGCAATTCATTTAACCTGGGGGCCACATTGGGATATCAACTGTGAAGGGCCGAATCTTATAATTTGTCATTTACGAATAGTGCCATGATGTCCTCTGTTGATTCATTTTGATATGGTGCTTTTCCTTCTCTTTTATTTATCTTCATGGTATCTGTGATGTAGCGGCTGTCAACATGTCCTATTGTGTGGATTGTGTTGGAAATGTGGGTTTTTAAACATTTTATTAACAACTGATCAGAGGCTGCGGCCGGACAGGACTGTGGAAGGTGCCGCTTGTGGCCCCCAGGCCGCAGTTTGTCCTACAATGTGACTCTCCCAATCAATGTCAATCCACATCATCTGTGAGAGACAACAAGGAAAAAGTCTTTGTTTAAATAATATTTTAGATTTAGTTTTACTGCAGCTTTTTACTGAGAAGTGTCTCGTGTGGATGAGTCAAAAGTAATAAACACAACTTAGTTACTGCTTCTTGTGGTGATTTTTAACGTTAATAACTTTGTTTAGGATTATTGACTGGGTGCGAAACATTATGTACATGTATAGAAGGGGGACAATCTTAAATTAAAGCCAGGGTACCAAACTTTCTTTATTTCAAACTGAAAATGATCTTGTGGACAAATCAGACCACATGTTTTTGTCTTTCAAGAAAACATTTATATTTTAAGAAAGAAACTTGCAGACGGGGGAGGGGAAGAAAATGGATGGAACTTACAGATATGCAAGAAAGAACCCTGGGCGGCACTATCTATTCTTTTCAAAAAACAATGTTCACAAAGCGCTGCACAGTCGGCATAATAAACAATAAACATAATACAAAGTCAAAATAATACAAATTGTAGATACAAAGCAGACTGTAAAATACAACATGTGAAGTTTAAAACTAACAGTTAAAAGCAGTTTAATAAAAGTGGGTTTTAAGAAGAGGATTCTGATGGTGCCTCGTCTCCTCGGGCAGGCGGTTCCGAAGTTTTGTGTTTTTGTGAGTTTGAGTGTGCGACAACGGCTGCAAATCAGCCAAAGGCTACATTCTGGAGAGCTGTGTTCATTAACATGCACTGTTCCAACCAATTAAACAATAAATAAAGAAATTAGTCACTTTTTGACACTTTGGGAAAGAGCTGATTGTAGGAAGAGAGAACCATTTTCACTCAGCCATAGTTCCGTTGCTGTGGTGACGGAAAGTTGTGGAAAGTTTATATATTCAACAGCACTGAAGAGAAATCAGACCTATTGTTCAAATGTGCCTGCAAGTGAAAGCCAGATCCTGAAGCCAAGCAGGGCAGAACCTGGTTACTACTGTGATGGGAGACCTCTGGGCCTCTGGGAGGCCTTATTGCGTCTGGTCTGAGTGTGAATTATCGGCGGTGGTCAGAGGTGTCAGACTGGTTGCCTCGCTTCTGTCAGTGTGCCCCAGGGCAGCTGTGGCACCGGAAGTATTTTATCACCACTGTGTATGGAGTGGAGGAATAATGACATGTGAAGCGTCTTGGAGTGTCCACAAAAGCGTTAGATAAACTTTATTCACCTCACATTGGAGTTTTTTTTGTCTTCCTTCCACCTCTCTAGTCTATTGTTATTATTAATACATTTTGTGTTCTACTTTTTATTATTATATATACTTTTTGCAATTTCTATTTCTATTTTTTTGTCCTTACTTTTTTCTCTTTTATTTTACATTTTAATATTTGATAGTATTATTATTATTACTATTATTATATGTATTTTTTTTTTCTTGGCATTATAACTGTTGCCTTTTGACGTTTAAAAAAAAAAAAATTATGACATTCTATTTGAATTCTGACAATAAAGGCCGGTGTTAAAATAAGCCAGTTGTGATTTCTTCTTTGGACACTAGATGGCGATGGTGGCTTCTGAACAGTGCATCGTCTCCAAAACTTCAGCTCATTGTGTTAATAAAAACTGTGGCCACGTTAAAGCTGGGGTGCCGTTTTCACAAATAATACATTTCAGGTTCAGATTCATTTATTTGCCATTTGCAGTAAAACCACATTGGAATACACACAAGACAAGTATATAAGTAAAACAGATTAAAAATACACAAAACAGTAAACAGCTCTGTTTAGTAAGAGCTCAGTAAGAGCTCTGTTTAAAAGTCTGGATTTATAAAGAACCTCCAGAACAGGAAGCTCACAGCCCACGGTCCTCTTTGCAGAGCGGAGCACCTTGTTTAAAAGCTCTCTTTTCTTTATCTGTGATGTTTCCAAACCACACAGACACAGAACCAACAAGTAAACTCTCAATGGTGCAGCCATAAAAGTTAAGCAGAATCTTAGAGTTAGTGGTAAATTCTCTAAGTTTACGCAGAAAGTAGAGACGCTGACGAGCTTTCTTAACCTGATTAGTGTTTTGTTCCATTTCAGGACATTAGACAGAGTTAAACCGAGAAACTTGCACTTGGGAG